GATAGACAGATAGATATAGGTGGGTGACAGATAGATAGATAGATGATAGATTGGATAGAGAGACATGATCTATAGACGATTGATAGATAATAGATACAGATAGAGATGCTATAGAGATGATGATGATAGATAAATGCAGATAGAGGTGATATACAGATTATAGATAAATAGATAGATACAGATAGATGTGTAGATAGATATAGATAGATAGATAGATAGATAGATAGATCGATCGATAGATAGATGATAGATATAGGTAGATTATAGATAGACAGATAGATCAATAGATAGATATGATAGAAAGGCAGATGATAGGTACATAGAGATGATATAAGGATAGAAAATAGAGAGATGATAGATTGGATAGAGAGAGATGGTCTGTAGATGGTAGACTGATAGATGATAGGTGCACAGATACAGATAGAGATGATACACAGACGACTATCATGATAAATAGGTACAGATGATGCATAGATGATAGATAGACAGATATTATAGATAGACATAGATAGATGATAGGTAGATGACAGATGATAGACGAGCAGGTGGGTGGATAGACAGACGGACGAGGCTCCTCGCCCCGTGTCCAAGCTCCCGAGAATGGGGGAGCCTGAGGATGGAAGGAGGAGCCCTTCGCCCTGAGCCGCTCCGTCTTCGCCGTGACGAGAGGGGATGCGCCGTGGGGTGGCCCAGCCCCGGCCCCAGAGGAAAACCCCAAAACCACACGGGGGTGGGTGCCGTCTGTGGGTGGGCCCACAACCCCCAGGGCGCCTGGAGATGAACCGACGAACCACCACAAAGTGAGCCACCATCCCGGGGCGACCCCACGGCCCCCTCCCCTGCAGGCGAGCGCCCGGAGCTGAGAGGACGAGAAGGTCAGCGACACGGCCTCTCTGCAGGGCCACACGGAGACCTGGCCGCTGGGGGCCGTCCGTGGGGGCGCCGAGGGGACCCCACTACTGGGCGTTGTGCTGAGGAGTCCTGGAGCGGTGGAGGGGTGAGCAGGGAAAATCAGAGGCAGCCTGCATGCCTTTCTGCACCCACTTGTCCCATTATTATCATCCTATCTTGGTCTGACACATTGTTACCAGCAAGGACCCAAAAGAGATACATTGTTACCAGCAGGGACCCAAAACAGATACATTTTTACCAACAAGGACCCAAAAAGATGCATTGTTGCCAACAAGGACCTAAAACAGATACATTGTTACCAACAAGGACCCAAAATAGATGCATTGTTACCAGCAAAGACCCAAACAGATACATTGTTACCAACAAGGACCCAAAAAGATGCTTTGTTGCCAGCAAGGACCTAAAACAGATTCATTTTTACCAACACGGACCCAAAATAGATGCATTGCTACCAAGGACCCAAAAGAGATACATTGTCACCAGCAAACACCCAAACAGATACATTGTTAACAACAAGGACCCAAAAAGATGCATTGTTGCCAGCAAGGACCTAAAACAGATTCATTTTTACCAACACGGACCCAAAATAGATGCATTGCTACCAAGGACCCAAAAGAGATACATTGTCACCAGCAAAGACCCAAAAGAGATACATTGTTACCAACAAGGACCTAAAACAGATACATTTTTTACCAACAAGGACCCAAAATAGATGCATTGCTACCAAGGACCCAAAACAGATACATTGTTGCCAGCCAGGACCTAAAACAGATACATTTTTACAAACAAGAACCCAAAATAGATGCATCGTTACCAAAGGACCCAAAAGAGATACATTGTTACTAGCAAAGACCCAAACAGATACATTGTTGCCAGCAAGGACGTAAAACAGATACGTTTTTACCAACAACAACCCAAAACAGATACATTGTTACTAACAAGGACCCTGCTGATGCTCTCTCTCCATTAAGGAGCCAAATACAGATACATTATTACAATTAAAGGCCCAATACTGATACATTGTTATAATTAAGGCCCCAATGCTCATACAGTGTTGCCATTAAGGGCCCAATACTGATACATTACTATAATTAAGGGCCTATATTGATACATTGTTATAATTAAGGGCCCAATAGTGAAACGTTGTTAGAATTAAGGGCCCCAATGCTGATGCATTGTTGCCATTAAGGCCCCAATACTGATACATTACTATAATTGAGGGCCCGATATTGATACATTGTTACTATCAAGGACCCACAACAGATGCATTGTTACCAACAAGGACCCTGCTGATGCTCTCTCTTCATTAAAGAGCCAAACACAGATACATTATAATTAAGGGCCCAATACTGACACATTGTTATAATTAAGGCCCCAATGCCCATACATTGTTGCCATTAAGGGACCAATACTGATACATTGTTATAATTGAGGGCCCAATATTGATACATTATTACCGTTAAGGAGCCGATGCTGCTACATTGCTATAATTGAGGGCCCAGTATTGATACATTGTTACCATCAAGGACCCACAACAGAGACATTGAAAAAGAGCCAAATACAGATACATAGTTGCCATTTAAAGGGCCTGATACTGATACATTGTTACAATTAAGGCACGATGCCCATTGTTGCCATTGACGACCCAATACTGATACATTGTTCTAATTAAGGGCCAATGTTGAAACCTTGTTGTAATTAAGGACCCAATCCTGATACATTGTTGCCGTTAAGGGCGATACTGATACATTGCTATGATTGAGGGCCCAATATTGATACATTGTTACCATCAAGGAGCCAACGCTGATACGTTGCTATTAACTGAAGCCTGTGTCTTACTCAGATGGCCTCGGTTTTTCCCTAAAGTCCTTTTTCTGCCCCAGGACGCCATCCGGGACCCACATGACATTTCTTGTCCCGTCTCCTCGGGCTCCTCCGGGGCTGTGACGGCGTCTGGGACTTTCCTCGCTGGGAGGACCTCAACATCTTTGAGGAGCGCCGGTCAGGCCATTCGAAGGATGCGCCTCTGCTGCGATGTGTCCGATGTGCGTCCCACGGTGAGACTGGGGTGGTGGGTTCGGGGCGGGACGACCACAGAGATCAAGCGTGCATCAAGGGTGCCGCCAACGTGACATCGCTGTGAGGCCGACCCGCTCACCCGGCTGGGGCGTGTTCCCCACGTGTCTCCACAGCGAGGTTCCTCCTGACCCCCTCCGCGCGCGCTCTGCTGTTTGGAAGGAGGTCACGACGCGCAGCCCACACGCTGGGGTGGGGAGTGCTCTCTCTGCGTCTGCAGGATTTGAACAGGAAGCTCGAGCTTGCTTTTTAGAAACGGGCTCAGGTGAGCAGAGAACGGTTCTCCTCGCACGTTATCAGCCCTCCACACCCAGCCCCACAGCACACTAAGCGTGTCGGTATCCCACATTCCGTGCGGCCTGCCGGAGGAAGGCCTGTGTTTAGGAGGCTACTGCAATAGTCCAAGCACAAGGGCTACATTGGGACAACCACAGTGAGAAGGGAGAGCCCCTCACCCCTTGTCCTGCTACCCTGCCATCTGGAATTCCACATTAGAGATTCATTCCTTTGGCATTGATAAATAGTTCGTAAAGCGCTTTTTTTTTTTTTTAACAAAAATGTTAGCGGAGTGGGGGGGGAGTCGCCCGGATGGACGACCTTAGAAACGAGAAGTGGGGAGGGGAGCGGGCACTTCCTGAGGAAAATCAGATGTGCGCTGTGTGCTGTGCATCCTCCCAGCCGCTTTTGGTTTTCGTTTCTGGATTCAGAGAAAGAACCAGGTCTCGGGTCTCGCTTTCTCTGTGCGCCATCCGGTCTTCCTTGCGGGGTACTCAAGCCGACATCGCTATGGCCGGAGGCGAGTCGGTCCCGTTCACTTTTTTAAAAAAACGGAGGCGGAATTCACATCGTATACAATTCACCCTTTGAAAACACACAGTCACTCTCCACCCGCCTCCCCCAGCCCCTGACCCCCGCTCCTCCCCTTTCCGTCTACGGATTGGCCTGTTCTGGACATTTCCTCTCCATGGGGTCCTGCGCTGTGTGTCCTTTTGTGTCTGGCTTCTGTCTCTGAGCATCGTGTGTTCAGGGTCCACCCACGTGGAGCTGTGTCCGGGCTTCCCTCCTGTTCATGGCTGCGTAATATTCCCCTGCACGGATGGACCACATTCCATTCATCCATCCGTCCACCGATGGACACTTGGGTTGCTTCCACCTTTTTCCTACTGTGAATAGGGCTGCCGGGGACATCCTCGACCGCCCCCCCTTCCTCACGGTTTCAACAAAGAGCCAAAAACCCAAGGACACGTGCTTCTTCTGCCCGCTCCTGACGGTGCAGCGTTCCTTCCACACCAGGACCGAGTCTGCGGGGAAGTGAAACCGCACTCCTGGGCCCCCGGCGGCACCCTTGACCTTGTTTTTCTCGAGGTTTCGTCAGGGCCCAGCTCTGCAGGAAAACAGCGGCCCCCAGATGGAGCGGGCGAGATAGGATGCTGTGGTCCTGGAGGGGAGGGTGTGTCGCTTCCTCTCCCCGCCGGCTTCTCGGTAACAACAGGGCTGCGCGGGGCGGGGTGTGGGGGAAAGGGGGCAACGGGGCCTGGAGAACGGCATTCTGAGAAGCTCCCTCGGAACCCACACTGGGGCCTGGCATCCTCGCCTCTCGGGGTCCCATCTGCCCCAAAAGGGGGACCCCCAGACCCGTTAGCAGGACACGGGGTTCAGCGGGGGGATGTGGGCATCTCCATCCCCCCCATATTCTTGGGGTACATGCTGGACCCCCGGGTGCCGGGATGGCCAGCAGACGGTCCACCTGCTGGACAGGCCCCGAGTGCACGGGCCTTGCTTGGAATTTGGGGTGACCCCGGGGGCAGCTGACCCCGTATGGCCACGCGGTCGTTTGCAGCTGGTTTTCAACAACCAGAGAAGCATGGAAACCTGACTGCTCTCCTCCCGGGTTTGGGGGCTTGAGGACCCCGGGATTTGGGAAGATGAGGTCTTGATCTCCTCCACCGCCGGCTTCTCCATCACCACCAGCTCCCTCCCACAAAAGGCACCCGCTCTCTTATTTCCCGAGTCCAGACCTTCTCCGAGGGCCCCATACGTGGCAGGAGGGACCTCACAGAGTGAACCGTTTCTCGTCCTCCGCATTTTCCCCCATGGAACATCCTCACCCCTCCGCGCTCAGGCTTTTGCTGCTCTGCGCATGTCGGCAAACGACCGGAAATCGCGCGAGTACTGATTTGGGGGTTGCAAACGGGATCTCGCGAGTCCGCGAATTCGCAAATACGGAATCCGCGAACCCAAGAGGACGGACTACACAGGTTGGGAGGCCGCGAGTGAGTCCATGAAGGGTAGCGTGGTCGGGTGGGGGGTGCGCCAGATTCTGACCGGAGCGGAGAGAGGCGGAGAGGGGTCCGCCTGCGTCAGGGGCCAACGAAGCAGCGTTGGCGAGGACGTGAGGAAATCAGACCTCTCCTCCAGGGTGAGTGGGAATGGAAAACGGGGCAGCCGCTTTGGGGAAACAATTTGTTGGGAAAACAATTTGGCGGTTCCTCAAAAAGTTAAATATAGGGTTACCCCATGACCAGGCAATTTCACTTCTGGGTATATGCCCAGAGTTGAAAAAAAAGATATTCCAACCAAAAACTCACGCAAGCATATTCAGGGCAGTTTTTAGGATGGCACAAAGTAGAAACAGCCCAAGTGTCCACGGATGGACGGATGGATGAACAGATGTCCGCCCATCGGCTGTCGCCCAGGCCAGCCCCGACTTCCGGATCCGGGGCCCAGCATCCCAGGCCCCCGTGGCTCCAGAGTCCTCGCCCCCCCCACGTCCAGGACCGAGGAGGATGGAGACCCAGCTACCCAGGGTCTGTGTCCGCCTCTGTCCTCACGGGGCTGCTCCTCTGCGTCTGCGTCTCCTCTTCTGTCTCTGATGAGGACGCTGTCACTGGATTCAGGGCCGCCTCCTCCAGGAAGCCCTCCTGTCCATCTTTGGATTCAGGGCCGCCTGCTCCAGGAAGCCCTCCTCTCCATCCTTGATTTAGGGCCGCCTCCTCCAGGAAGCCCTCCTCTCCATCCTTGATTCAGGGCCGCCTCCTCCAGGAAGCCCTCCTCTCCATCCTTCCCTGCATCACACCTGCAAAGACCCTGCTTCTAAATAAGGTCCCGTGCAAGGGTCCTGGGGTCAGGACGTGGGTGCATCTCATGGGACCCCCCCCCTCAGCTGCCACCACGTTTCCTTGAGAAATGATGTTTTCCAGAAGCAAAGCGCAGGGCATCCTACTGGCCCAGGGGGCACGGCATGGGAACAGAGACCCGTCTGTCTCAAGCACGAGTGGTCAGCTGCACAGAGGAGGCTGCAATCGGGGACGGACGGCCGTGTGGTGTGTCCCGGAGGCGGCCAGAGAGCTGTGACCACAGCCACGGTCAATCAAATGCACCGAAGAAGCCGACGCATTCGGGACAGTCAGTCCCCTCTGTCTGGCGTCCGTCCCCGGCTGACCGCTCTGCCTCCACCCAGCCCCACTCGGCTCTGATGGACACTGTCTGTCCCGACCGTCATGGACATTGCTGTGTGGCCCCGTTCTGACCAGCATGACGGAAGACAAAGTCGGCCGGAGGGATGCTCAGAAAAAGTGCTGCTTCCCCGCTAAGAGGGCCAGACTCAGAGGAGGAGGAGCTGACAGGGCCCCTTTCCTTCAACGGCCCTACACACAGACGTGATGCCTGGTGCCGTGGCAGCCACTTTGGGCTCTGAGGCAGCAAAGGTGCAGATGGTAACATACTAAGAAGGGAGGTGGAGAAAAATAAAAAGACACGGGGTCCTTGATGACACCCTGGAGCTGTCACGCCCACCCTGGAGGGCTCATCTCTGAATTTCTTGTTAAGTCAAGAAAAAAAAAAAAATCTCCCGGTTGAGGCCACTGGTTTTCATTACCAGACGCCAAAAGCCTTCTTAGTGAGACGCTGATTGTGTAAAGCGACATTTTCTGCAGCTCTCTCGGAGTCCTGCCTCTGGATACGAAGACCCCTCCCAATGGCCCAGAAGAAGGGGTCCTTCTGCCTCCATTTGGGATCTGGGACCCAGGACGCACGCGAGCACAGCTTGTCCCCCATCGCTCTCCGGGCCGCATGTCCCTCCTCCTTCATCCACGGGGCGGCTTTCTCTCCCACGAGCACCCCTGCTTCTGCGGGTTTGCGTGCCGGGGATGCACTTACGTAAATTGTCCGGGCTGTCGGCATCTAAGCGGAGCCACGGGGCAAATTTGACGGCCCCATAAAGGACGTGCAAAGGCCCGCTGGTGTTCGGGGCTGTTGGGATGGTGGGATTCTCCGGGAGAAGGGAATGGATGAGGTCAGAAGGAACAGGGCTGGGGGTCCAGAGGCGGCTCTGGCGGCGTGCAGCCCGGGTCCCCAGGGCTGGTTTTGGGGCTGGAGCTTGTATTTCAGCTCAGGGCCCTGCAGAGGTCGCTCAGTCACTCAGCATCAGGCCCCTGGGCTCCCCAAGGGGTGCAAGGCCATCCCGTTCCCTGTCCCCTCCTTACAGCCGGCCCCAAATAAGCCAAACGGGGGCCCCAAGTTGGCCACCCCGGGGTGCAGCCTGTGCCCGGGGTCCTCGCCGCTCCAACGGGACATCCAGCACGTGCGTGGGGCCAACAGAGCGGGAATCGGGCAATGCAGCCCTCGCATCGCTTTTTTAAATAAAGTTTTATTGAAACACGGTCACGTCCATTCGGTCAAATAGCGCCTCTGGTCGCTTCTGTTCAGACCGTCCGGCCCCAGGCCAAGAGGGAGTCGCCCCATCCTTTTAAACTCCCTTGACGCCTGGTGTGGACGTGTTTTCTCCACGGCAGCTCCAACCTGTCCCCCTTCGGAGGGGACGGGACGGTCGACCCGGGGAAATCCCAGCTGGTCTGTTGAGAGACGGGACCCGTGAGCTCAGGAGGGTGCCTTGCTCAGCATCCTGGATCTCGTAGGCACAGCCTCCCGTCTCCCGGACCAAACTGTGTCTCCCCCCAAATTCACAGGTCGGGGTCCTGACGAACCCAGCACCTTGGAGGATGAAGGGGGTTGTGAGGCGCTGGATTGCACGCAGGGCCTGCCGGTCTGTGGGTTCGGCTTGTGCAGCGCGCTCAGTGTGCTCAGAGTGAGTTCTTTTCATTCTCCCCCCCCCCCCGTGGTTGCTGCCCCACTGTGTGGACAGGGCGGGAGATCTCGAAGCCACAGGGGTCCGGGCTCCCGAATGCCGACCAGCATGGCTGTCTCGGGAGAGGTCGGCGGCGCGGACCCTGTGTCTGATCCCAGGGCCTCGTCCTCTCTGCGGGGCTGAGTCCTCCGTCACCAGGTGTGAACTCCAGCCCGGGGGCGCCCTGCCTGTGACAGTGGGACAGACACAAACAGACGGACGGACGGGGGGAGAGAGGATGAGTGAATGACAGACGGGTGGACAGATGAGGGAGAGACAGACAGAGAGGTCGATACATAGACAGATGATAGATACACAGATGATCGATGAATAGACAGATAAAGATAGACGATAGATGGGTGGATTGACGACAAATAGATACATAGATAGATGATAGATAATAATAGGTAGACAGAAAAATAGATAAATAGATGATAGAAGATAGATGATAGATAACAGATAGATAGATAGATAGATAGATAGAGTGATAGATAGATGATAGATAGATAAATAGGTGATAGATGAGAGACAGGTGATAGATGGATAGGTAGATGGATGAAAGATAAATGGAGATAGATGATAGGTAGATAGAAAGATAGATACATAGATAGATAGAGAGAGATGGATGATAGATAGGTAGATAGATAGATGGATAGATAACAGATAAATAGAGATAGACAGATGATAGATAATAGGTAGATAGAAAAATAGATAAATAGATGATAGATAGAAGATAGATAAATGATGATAGGTACGTGGATAGATTGATAGGTTGATAGATAGAGATAGAGAACAGACAGATGATAAATAGATACATAGATACATCGATAGGTAGATAGATGATACATAACAGATAGATAAATAGATAGATGATATAAGATAGATATAGATAAATAGACAGAGATAGATGATAGATGACAGATAAAAATAGATAGATGATAGATCGATGATAGATAGATGGATAGATATAGATAAATAGAGATAGATGATAGATGACAGATAAAAATAGACAGATGATCGATAGATGGGTAGATGATAAATAGACAGATGATAGATAATAGGCAGATAGAAAAATAGATAAACAGATGATAGAAGATAGATGATGATAGACAGATGATGCATAATAGATAGGTAGACAGATAAACATATAGGTGATAGATAGACAATAGATGGAAGACAGATGGATAGGTAGACAGATAGATGATAGACAGGTGATAGGTAGAGACAGACAGACAGTTAAAAATGATGATGGATCATAGATAGGTGCTGGATGAATATAGATCCATGATAGATATAAACGTGTAGGGCCCACAGAATGCACACCGCTGACTGGTAGACAGACGGTCGATGCACCAACATTAACACACAGTCCACGCGCCACAGACGTAGGTAACCCCGGAGTCCTCCTGGAAGAGCCGTCCGGCATTCGCTCAGTCACCCTCCGGGCCGCGTTAGGCAGCACAACCACAGGGAATCACGAGGATCGACTGTCCTTCTGGCAGCTTCCGCCCTCCTTTCCTACAGCTTACGTTCCTGTGAACGCATTTCAACACTTGTGCCCGTGTGCGACTCGGTCCACATTGCTCCCTGCCTGCCCTCCAGCCTGACCCCGCACCGGCCGGTGTGGACTCCAACCGGTCCTCTCAGGATGCACAGCAGGTGAGCCCGAAGCCACCCCCGGTCCCCCACAGTTCCCGGGGCTGGGTCATCCCTGCCTGTCACCTGGCTGCATACCAAAAGAGGTCGCAAGGTGCACAGCTTCAGGATGCAAAAGGAAATATGTTCTGTTAGCTTTTTTTTTTTTTTAATTAAACAAAACCAGGAATCTGTTCTGTCTGGGAATGCAACTGCAGCGCACTCTGCCCTAATGTTAGGAAAATGGGCCCTCCTCCTTGCTTCCTTCTCGGATTTCTCCAGGCAGAAAACTCTGTCAGGAGTGGCAGCTTTCCCTGCAGTCTGCTGGAAGTAGCACTGGGGTGGGAGGAGGGTCCGGGGCTGGAGGGGGCTCTGAGGCTGGAGGGGGCTCTGAGGCTGGAGGGGGCTCTGAGGCTGGAGGATGCTCCGGGGCTGGAGGATGCTCCGGGGCTGGAGGAGTCTCCGGGGCTGGAGGAGGCTCTGGGGCTGGAGGAGTCTCCGGGGCTGGAGGATGCTCCGGGGCTGGAGGAGTCTCCGGGGCTGGAGGAGGCTCTGGGGCTGGAGGAGGCTCTGGGGCTGGAGGAGGCTCTGGGGCTGGAGGATGCTCTGAGGCTGGAGGAGTCTCTGGGGCTGGAGGGGGCTCTGAGGCTGAAGGGGGCTCTGAGGCTGGAGGAGTCTCCGGGGTTGGAGGGGGCTCTGGGGCTGGAGGAGTCTCCGGGGCTGGAGGAGTCTCCAGGGTGGGAGGAGGCTCCGGGGCTGGAGGAGTCTCTGAGGCTGGAGGAGTCTCCGGGGCTGCAGGAGGCTCCGGGGCTGGAGGTCGCGCTGGGGCGGGAGGCGGCTGGGTGTCCAGCGCCCCCGGGGCAGCACCGGCGAGCGCCGACAGGAGGCGGGGACGGGCGCGCTTGGCCGAGGACGACGATGACGAGCGCCAACAGACAGTTAGACAGGAAATTTCAAAACGGGTTTCCTCTGCACCTAGCCTGCCTCCCAACCGTGGCGGCGGCTCGGAGGTGGACCCTGAAGAATTTGCATTTGGGGACGGCGGCCGGCCCGTGCCATGCCCCCTCGGCAGCGAGCCCACGACACGGACGGGCCGCTGGGACGGGGCCGTTTGCGGACGCCGGCGCATCCCGACGGACGAGGGCCCGGGACGCGGGCTCGCAGGATGCCGGTGGCCTCCTGAGCCGGGCGCACAGCTGCTGGCCGGCCGCCTCTGACCGCTCCGTCTGCAGACCCTGCTCCAGGTGGGCTCTCCGCTCTTTCTTATTTCTGCGCCTTGGCAGGCGGAAAAGGACGCTCGGGGGGGGGTGG